TCAAAAGAGAGGTAGCCAGGAAGGTATTGCTCCTCTCTACTCTGTCCTTGTGAGGCCCCATCTGGAGTACTGTATCCCAGTACAGTAAGGATGTGGAGCTGCTGAAGCAGGTCCAGAGGTGGCCATGGAGGTGATCAGAGGGCTGGAGAACATTTCCTGTGAAGAAAGGCTGAGGGAGCTGGGCTTGTTTAGCTCGGAGAAGAGAAGGCTCTGGGAAGGCCTCATTGCAGCCTTCCAGTACTCGAAGGGAGCTTACAAGTTTTTACACAGTCTGTTAGTAATAGGACAGGGAAAAATGATTTTAAATTAAAAAGGGGGAAATTTAAATTAGATGTTAGGAGGAAATGTTTTACCCAGAGGTTGGTGAGGTGCTGCCCAGAGAAGCTGTGGTGCCCCATCCCTGGAGGCGCTCAAGGCCAGGTTGGATAAGGCTCTGGGAAGCCTGAGCTGGTGGGGGGCAGCCCTGCACATGGCAGGGGTTGGGTCTGGGTGGGCCTGTAAGTTCCTTCCCATTCTAAGCCATTATATGATTCTATGATCTTTCGAAGGTATGTAAAAGTTGACATCTTTTTGCATCTTTTTAATCATTATAAATTAAACTATTTTAGAATGTTAGATTAAAGATGATACTTAGTACAAAGATTATGCAAGAAGTGCAGATATGAGATCAGCCAAGGGCTTTTATCCCTCATCAACTCTTGATTAAGGTGAATGCCAGGAAGTCCACAGAAAGCAGTGACTTCATAAGATGATAGCCAAAAGCTAGACCCTCAAATAGTAAGTATCTGCATAATTCCTTCAAAACACATAACAGTCTAGCTGAAGTTTTGGCCCTGAAAGCATTGCCCCAGCAATCTTTATATTAAGACCTGCAGCAGTGAATTGTGGCATCAAGTTAATTAAAGGTGATAGAATTTAATGTGTTATCATGTACAAATAAAAAATCTCAGTATCTTCCAGATAAAGATTTTTCACATGCTTTGAACCATTAAAACAAGGACATCCAGTGGTTCTAAGGACAATAATAGCATACATTATTGAGGGATATTTAAAAAGGTGTATATGTTATTAAAACTTGTTTAAAACATGCAAGTAAACTTAAGTGCTATTTTCTTTCTACTCAAAACTTAATATTCAGATGAAAAACTACCAAATGGGATTATTATGTTTCTAATATTTGTAATGAACAAACAACTCTAATTCAAACAACCAACACAGAAGATTGTTTTTATGTGTTATTACTCTGAGTTACATTATGCAGTTAAAAATACCCCATATGTAAAGGAATCTATTCCTTTGAACACAGAAAATAGGCAGTTATAAAAATTCAAACATCAAAATATTCCTTCGTGTTACATAAGAAGACTTGAGAAACCAGCAGAGCAAAAAAAAAAAGTGTACTTTATTAAATGTGAACTCAAGGAGGCTTTTTTTCTTAGCGTAAAACCAGCCAGCATTCCTTCACCCATCAACTATTTTGAACATACACTGAAAATCAAGGGTTGGCAATGAAGATAAACATGTCATTTTTCTACAGAGGAGACATTACAAAGAAGTTGTTCTTACATGGTAAATAATAGAAACTCACAGAAGAGTAGGATGAAATAATGCAGCTCTTCCAGTACTTTGCTGCATGGCTGAATACAGACAAATCTGCCAATCTTATTTCCAACTTCTGAAGAAAACACAATGGCTCAGCTGTGAAAAATTTTGTGGACTATCAAATAATTGGAAGGAAAAAAAAAGCAACGAAGACTGATAATGATCTGTTTTACCTAACATAGTAATTATAACCTGATATGCTGTTTTATCCCCTCACAATTACTTGATCCTGTGCAAATGTTTTCAATATATTGATATTACAATTAAAAACAAGTAGAAGAAGCGTGATTTACCAACACACCTCTTTTAGAAGTCCTGTTTATTAGTATGCCATTTTCAAATTTAGTGTAAATGTATATTAAGCTAGGAAGAGAGTCATTAGCATGTTAATATCTATTAATCATTGTAATTATGAAAAAACAATTAGATACATGTTGCATTACCTTTATGAATATCCCCATGATGCATCCCTAGTTTACAACTATTGACTTCTCCAGGAGATCAGCAAAAATAAACCAAATAAAATAAGACTTCTCATCTGTAGTTTGGTTTCCAAATTATATTCAACACCTAGCATGTATATCTTCTGTTAATGCTGGTCTATATTTGTGCCGTTTATTTTCATGTCCCATCACCAAAACCTTTTTTCCTTGAGCTTGTTTTTTTAAGTGTTAAAGATGATGTCTCAACTAGATGGAGAGCCAGCTCCAGGCACAAGAGATGTACCGGCAGAACCAGGAGTTACTAGGGTAGCAAAGAACAGATCCAGACCTCTTTTATGCCAAACAACAGAAACTTTTGTAGAGCACTGAATTCAGGCCATGCAGCACGCACGCAAATACTGAACAACTGAGTCAAACAGTTTTTAATGACAGTAAGTCTTCATGTAAGTGTTCTTCAAGGTAATGTGACATTCATTTCAAAACTGACTCGTTTCTATCTATTTCAACTCTGTGGCTATTTGTTATTCTAGCTGTCACACTGCTGCAGCACTCTAGTCACAGGCCATAACCTCAGTGACTAAGGACTGAACAAACAGGACAGAAAGCTGCCAGGTGTCCAAGAGAAAATGAGTTTACCTTTAGTCACAGCTAAATAGAGTGGATTGCTGAATGTTTGGAAGAGAGCAACAAAGAGAGAAAACCAAGTTTTAATCTGCTTCTCTGTCTTAGAATCTGGAACTGACTTTGTTTTCTGACAAAATTATCCAAAGACAGTGCATGCAGATAAAGACATAAAATATTTATCCAAACCTCATAGAAAGCTAAAGGAATTGACTTGCTCCTGCCCCACTCCCCCCCACCAAAAAAAATGAAGAAAAAAAAAAAAGAGAATAATGAGAGAAGCTCAGAGAGGATAGAGTCCCTGAGGAAGGGCAAGAATTCAGTAAGAAAAGCCTGGTTAAATGTGAGGCAGGTGTCTGATAATTTGAAAAAGATAAGTGTACTGATGTGGATCTGAGATTCAGCTGCAGTCATCAAAGGCTTTAGTGAGAGAAATTTTAGAGATATGTCAAGGATGGAGGATGGATTGTAGCCATGATGAAATCAGAGGAGAGTTTAGAATACCAATAAGGTTAGAATGGAATGCCTTAAAAGAAATTAGAAGGGTGGGGGGAGGGAGGGGTCATGGGTGGGTTTCCTATGTGTAGGAAACAGAAACTGAGTGCAAGAAAGGCATCCGAAGACACTAGAAGATTACATGGAAACAAAATAGAGAAAAGCAAATGAGATGTTTATATTAGTGACAGGAGGAAAGGAAGGGTTAGTGGCAAGAGATAGAAATCAAAGCCAAGAGAGTGTGTATAGTGTCTTTTATCATAGAGTCATAGAATCCTTAGAGTTGGAACAGACCTTTAAAAGTCATCTAGTCCAACTCCTCTGCAATGAACAGGGACATCTACATCTACATCAGATTCCCCAGCACCTTGCCTTGAAAGTCACTAGGGACAGGGCATCCACCACATCTCTGGGCAATGTTCCATTGCCTTACCACCTTTACTGTAAAAAACTTTTTCCTTATATCTAGCCTAAATCCATCCTTTTTAAGCTTGAAACCATTTCCCTTTGTCTTATCACAGTAGACCCTGATAAAGACTCTATCACCTTTGTTCCTGTATCTCCCATTTAGATACTGAAATGCCACTATTCTGAGGTCACCTCAGAGCCTTCTCTTCTCCAGGCTGAGCAGCCCCAGCTCTTTCAGCCTGACCTTGTAGGAGAAGTGTTTCACCCCTTGGATAATTTTTATGGCCCTACACTGAATTCAATCCAATGGCTCTATGTCTCTCCTGTACTGACAACTCCACATCTGGACACAGTACCCCAGGTCAGGTCTCACCAGTGCAGAGTAGAGAGGAAGGATCACCTCCTTCACCCTGCTGGCCACATTACTTTTGATGCAGCCCAGCATACAGTTGGCTTTCTGGGCTGACTCATGTTCACCTTCCCATCCACCAGTACTCCCAGGTCTTTTTCAGCAGGGCTGTGCTCAATCCTTTCATCCCCCAGTTTGTATTGCTAGTGGATGTTGCCTCAACCCAGGTGCAAGACCTTGCACTTGAATTTGTTGAAGCTCGTGAGGCCAAGTGTTCAAGCCTGTCTAGATCCATTTTGGTGGCAGCCCATCCCACTGGTGTGTTGACCACACCCCACAGCTTGGTGTCATCAGAAACTTGCTGGTACACTCAACCCCACTGTCAATGTCATTGACAAAGATATAAAAGAATATCAGTTCCCAGCAATGTGTGACACCACTTGTCTCTGATCTCCAGTAAGACATCGAGCCATTGACCACCAAACTCTGGACTCAGTCCTGCAGCCAGTTCTTCATCCAGACTTTTCCTCAAGGAAACGACTAAAACCCTGTGTAGAGAGGGATGTGGAAGCAGGAGAAGCAATATGGAAGCAGGAGAACAGTCACACTAAAGAGATGAATCTTTAGTATCGTAATTTTCCAAGTAGAACTATCCACAAAAGAAACACACTTGACTAACTGAAACAGAAATTAGGTTCACGTTAAGCGTTGCCATTTCATACCGTGGCCACTGAGCATGGAACAACTGAACAACAAATTGTGCTTGTGTGTGACAACTGCAGGCACTTTCACAGACACAATCCCAAGTGAATTTTTCATGTCTATAACCCGCCTGTGTTTAGAAACGAGTTTCTAAAGAAACTGCCCAGTATGCCAGCGCCTAGGCAGCATCTGGGTCTCCACAGTTTTTGTGGCCTTAGCCTTCCACCAGGGCGCAGCCATGGCCCACCAGCAGGCACATAACACTACTCGATAGCCTTCATGAGCTGTGCCTCATCAGCCCCGCCCTGCTGCCGTAGTGCTGGCTCTGCCCTCGCCCCGTTGCCGGGTCGTTAACGGGAGCCCGCGCACTTCTCACTCACTTGACGGTGATAACAACCGTCCTCGCCGTGTAGTCCCGTGTATGAGTGGCTTATAGTTTCTCCTCGTTAAATCAGCCCAGGTGATTCTCACACACCGAACTCCTCCTCTCCGTCTACCCGAGGCTTTTTCTAGGCGAGGCGGTGGATGCAGAGCCGTTGCCCTGGCAACGTCCCCGCCGCGTCAGCCGTTCTCGCGAGAGCTGCCCGGCCGAGAGCTGCCCGGCCGCTCTTTATAGCGGGGATCCCTGGATGAGGGAAGCGAGCGAGATCCTGCTGTACCTCGCGGTCAGTCGCCGCGCTTCTGGCTGGAACGGCTCCGAAGCAGTGAACCTCGGCGATCAAGGCATTTGCACTTCTCTGTGATTTCTGAAGGATGTATAACTGCCTAATGCATCTAAAAGAACGTATAATTTATGTTTAAAGATATAATTAGCCCAATCATCTTGTCTGTGTATTCGGAGACAAACAAACAAAAAAATTAAGCTAACCTTTCCTCCACTCTTCTGTTTTGGACACTGGCAGTCAAATGACAAGTTCAGGTGCTGAGTTAGTGGTAAACTGTAATCATGCCGATCACCCATGAAGCAGGAAGGAAAGGTGGACAGGAAAATAGGATTTGACTGAGCAAGTCACCCAAAGTGCCTTTTGTAACCGGCGTGCAGAAACTGGGTGTGATTCACTTCATCCCAAAGGAGAAGGCTGAAACAAGTCAGATGCCCCTGTCTCACCATAGAGTTTGATGGGAGATGAAGGGGAATACCTTTGATTTAGTTAACTGCATTCCTGAAGTATAGTTAGGTGAGCTGAATCTTGTCAGATGTGCCTATAGTGCTGCCTTCTCATTCTGGGAAGAAGGGTGTGAAAGTAGCATAAATTGTTTCATTAACAGTGAAAAAATGATGTTCTCCACGTGCTATATTTTTAAATATAAATGAGATCCTCTAAACAAAGCAAACATTCTTAATGCATTCTTTAAAGGGGTATGACTTGCCTTCAGTGACTGGTTACCAAAATGCAGCATTTACTTTTGGGTCAGAAGTACTGCAGAAATGATCTACCCTACTGACAGCTAAAAGCTATTAAGTAGAACTTGAACAAAGTTTGAACAAAAACTAAATTTTTTATTTTAAAAGCCCTTTGTCTACATAATAGGTGTATGCAATGAAAGGAGAATAGACCAAAGCAGGGTGCTGCTGGCAGATTGCTGGATGCAATCAAAGGAAAATTGCTTAGAAAAACATTGAACAATGAGGAGGGTCAGGGTAACACACAAGCACTCTCTCCCAGCTAGGGATTTCTATAAAAATACACTGTGCAACAAGAACCAGAGTAACAGGGACCAAAGTAATAAGAAAATTAAGTTAAAGCAAAGGAAAGCAGTGAATTTGAGCAGTAATTGGAAAGGCTTTCTTTTCACAGTTACAGGCTGCTGGAAAGTATATCATTCATTATCAGTGCAGCGGTTCTCACAGCTTCTCTCACAGTAAGAAGGCAAAAAAAAGGCTGTCACATCATTGCTACTGATCTGTAGTGATCACGGACACTTGTTTATATGTCATTCATAAAAACTGTACTCTGCCTCAACGAAGTAAACAGCCAGCAGAAATAGTTAAAGAAAACTCTGCTTTCTGTTTAAAATGCCTACGGAAAGGTTCTAACCTCTTCTTACCTCTTTTTAATGTACTTTTAGGGATGCATGCAGCTCTTTACAAAAGTTGTTCAGTTTTTGACTGAAGTAAACATAAAGTTCATAACTTGACCACTGGCATATTATTTATGAAAACCTTCACTGTTTTTCTTCCTTCAAACTAGCAATGTTAGAGGACATAGAAAATAGCAATTGTGATCCATACTTAGATCTATAAGACAGTAGAAGGGCCAGAGCAAAATTTGATATCGAATCACCATATCTGCAAAATATTGTACTACCTCTGTTTCTGGTACAAAATTCATCCGGTATGCTGGTGGGTTTTTTTGGTTTTGTTTTTCTCCAGAAACACTAAGAATGGTGTTCTTATCATTTTACTGTCAGATCAAATGATTCTCATCTCTTTTGACCTTTTTGACTGTCCATCAGATCCTACTGTTCTCTAGCAACACCCATAGCAACTAGCCCTTGGACTGCTTTCCGTGTGTCGTAACAGTATCCTCATCTGTGTAAGAGGGGTGAAATCATGGGATGTATTTATGGATAACTGCCTGGAACTGAGCTATAACTGAACTTTTCATTGGGGATGCAGTCATCATAGGATACGTGCACCCTGGCAGAAATTTATGTACAACTTTGCTCCATTGATATCAATAATGTGGTTGGAAATGGGTGCTCATAAATTTATGGAGGAAAATGTCCAGCTTTCAAAATGTACAGACAGGATATGCAAGTCCATTTGCTGTGTGCATAAATTCTGCTGTGAATGCTGATGTCCCAAAGGCAGACACAAAGGTACTCTTTACAATCTTGGCTTCTTTCAGAGAACACTAGATGGAGTTTTTGATGACCGTATGGTGTTGGGCACATCACATTTCTAGAGAGAGGAATATATGAGCAGCCACATTGGTGGTGTCAGTTCACGTCTAACAATATGTAGGAATTTGCATAACTCATCACAGCAATTATCACAGCAGGCTTTTTAGTACCAAACTGCTACGCCACAACTGGACAGAGAAATAGTGGAGCCAGCTTCCATACAGAGATGACCAGATGCTTCCTGACTATGATGGGATGACTGGGTACCTTACATTAATCTTACTAGATGTACCTCTCCCTTTTCTTGAAACTCTGTGGATCACTGAGTGATGAGATGTGTCAGACTCCCGTGTGAGGGCAGGGGCTGCACTGAAGTAAACCCAATTTGGAAGGTCTGGCTTCAGATCTGTCATGTGACACTCTAGATGTGACCTTTGCCATTCACTGCTGGCTTGCCATTTGCTGCTGGCTCCAATATCAACACAAAATAATTTTATAGCTACTCTAGGATTTACTGTCACATTTTTAGTCACAGTTGAGAGACTTCTTTCTGCCTCAGAGAACAATTCAGTTCCCCATCAACTTACTATATACACTTCCTTAAACATGTGCAAGAAGACAGATAGAAATGTCAAGTGTGAATCAGCTATTATAACTACAGCTATTTCTTTACTTTCTGAGCAGCAAAAGCAACTACATACCCTACCTCTGTAGGAGCTGTGCAGAGTAGTCACTATTCCCAATTTTATGTATCAAGAAATTCAGTTACATACTCTTATCATCTTCCTTACTTCCTCATTTATAGGAGTACTGTTATCCTCTTAATCTTTAGGTGTGATCTCGTTTTACTATCACTTCTGCATATTTATTGTATCTGCATTATTTTACCGTACCCCTTGGCAGTATCTCACTAAGACACCAGATTATATCATCTACTTCCCTTGCAGAAAAAGCTACACTTCTAGTTCCACTGAAATAGATGGGCATTTGGAGGCCAAGGGTTTACTCCAAATGTCTCTACCTTTGCCACCAGTTCTTCACAGCCAAAATTCATCTGCTAAGGACCAGCAGAGTGCATCAGATAATTGCAATACTGCCTTACCGTGTTGCTTTGGTAACAAGTATTCCTAGTGCACTGGTGGCTCAGAAAACCTTGGATCATTGTCAGTAAAACCACACAAACTAGTAGTTCTGAAAATACACAAACAAGATATTTCCTAATTTTAATATTTTTTTCTTTAAATATTTTTTTTTCTTAAATCCATCTCAATTCAGAATATTATTCAGTTACATGAACATTGTCATGGCATCTAAGATGTCCAAAGCCACCTTGGACACTTACCTTACAGGCTGGCAGAACTGTATCTTCTGCAGCTGAAAACAAAGAACGATATTTGGATATCAATCTCCCATATCAGTGCACAGCTATGTTTATGTAACTTAATCATATACCCACTGAAAAATTCCTTTCTTTCAAGACAAGCAGGAGTTTGATTAAGGTCTGGCCTGAAAATTGTTCAGTTTAAGAGTTGCAATGTAGGCACAACTCAGCTGCCTAACCATACATAGATGTTATTTGTGGTACCCTGGGACATCCACCTGCGCTCCTACTGCATTTAACAAAATGGTTGAAAGGCCAACAAGTCAGACATTCTGGTGGGGGTCTGATATAGATCACCAAATCAGAATGAAGAGACAGACAAAGCATGCTATGAGCAACTGACAGAGGAAGCAGTGTAGGAGGTTCCTGGAGTGCATGGAAAATGACTTCCTGGCATAGCTGGTAAGTGAGTCTACCAGGGGAGGTGCCCCACCTGACCTGCTATTTGTGAATAGAGAAGCGCTGGTGGTAGATGTGTTTGGAGTTGTCTTGGGCAGAGTGACCACAAAATAGCACAGTTCTTAGTCTCTGGTGAAGTCAGGAGGGAAGTCAGCAAAACTGCTATTTTGGATTTTTAGATGGTGGACTTTGAATTTTTCAGGACACTGGTGAGAAGGGTCCCTTGGGAGTCAGTCTTGAAGGACAGAGGTGTCCAAGAAGGCTGGACACTCCTCAAGAAGGAAGCCTTAGAGGCACAGGAGTAGGCTGCCTCCACATGCCATGAGGCAAGCCGGCAGTGAAGAAGAAGGGCATGGCGGAACAGTAAATTTTTTCTGAGACTACAGGAGAAAAAGAGAGTTTACTTCCTGTGCAAAAAGGAATGGGAAACTGGAGCAAAATACCATGAATTTGCTAGCATATGCAATATGTGTGTAAAAAGGGAGAAAATCTGAAAGGCTACAGGTACAGATAGGGCCAGATAGGATCCATCTGAGGGCATTGAGAGAGCTGGCGGATGTGGTTCCCAAGCAGCTTTCCACAGTCCAGCAGTAGTCCTGGTCAGTCAGGGGGGTCCTAGATGACTGGAGACTTGCTAATATGACAAGAATCTCTGTGAAGAATTGTAAGGGGGATCTAGAGAACTACAGGCCTGAAAACGTGACCTTGGTGCTGGGGAAAGTTGTGGTACAGATCATCTTGAGTGCAATCACATGGCATGTGTAGGACAACTGGGGGATCAGGCCCAGCCAGCATGGTTTCACATGGTCCTGCCTGACCAACCTCATCTCCTTCTATGATTGCGTGACCTGCCTGGAAGATGAAAGAAAGGCTGTTGATGTAGTCTGCCTAGACTTCTGCAAAGCCTTTGACACTGTCTCCCCCAGTGTTCCCCTGAAGAAGCTGGCA